CTCATGGTTCTTCTTGAGGCAGAGCAGCTCCTCCTTCAGGGACTCCACCTGGGCCTCCAGGTCGGCCTTGCACAGGGTCAAATCATCCAGGATCCTGCGCAGCCCATTCATGTCCGACTCCACCAGCTGCCTCATGGACACCTCCATCTCATACCTGGCAGGCACGTAACAGGACACCTGAGGCTGCATTTCTGTTTTATATCCAATTCACATCTCAACCCAGACTGGCCTGGTGCTGTGTCCACCTTAATGCCTCTGACTTAGTGCAGCCAAAACCCCGAGTCTGGGCATCACCAATGTCCAGTATTACCAGCCCCCAACCAAGGGGCAGGCAGGGCACTCACTTGGTCCTGAAATCATCTGCGGCCAGCTTGGCATTGTCGATCTGCACCACCAACTGGGCGTTCTCTGCCTTGGTGCACAGGGTCTAGAGGAGGGCGGGAAGTGGGGGGAAAGTTACTTCAGTAAAAGAAAGGACATTCTGCTGGCTGGAGCACCCCAAAGCTGGCATGAGCTGCCGTTGGAGAAAGGGCAGCACCCATCCCTGGACTCCTGGCAGCTGAGGCTCCATGAGGCTTATGGGCATGCAGCACGAATTAGGGAGGAAACCGCTAGGGCCCCTGCCCATGCAGTGCATCTGCGACCTGTAGCCTGGAACAGAGAGGGGGAGGCGTGGCAATGCTGCAGGAAGACCGGGCATGATGGCTTCCTCTTCTCTTTCTATCGCCCAGGCTACAGGGCTCTCCGGGAAGGTTATTACCAACAGCACACTCTGTGATTCCTTGGTCATAAATGACCCTTCTCAGAAGCCAGCTGATGTTCAGGGAATGTGGGCTGGGCGAGAAGGAAACTTCTGACAGGCTTTTCCTTTCCTGAATCAGTTATAAGAAACCTGCCCTGAACCAACACATCAAATTCAATCCCCTTACCTTGGAGGAGGAGGAGGAGGAGGAGGAGGAGGAAGAGGTGAGTTGGGCTATGATATCAAAGGTCATACAGCCAATTAGTCCATAGAGTCATGTTCAAGCTCTGGCTCCACTAACTGCCAGCGGGACCACTTAGAATAAGTCACTTAACCAGCCTGAGCCTCAGTGTTCTCATCTGTTAAATGGGCTGGTGATACCTCCCTCGTAAGATTACTGGGAGGAGCAAGTGAGACCACGGTGTGAACAGGTCCTGTGACCTCTGAGGTGCCCCCGGGGAACTGGGCCACCACCACAGATGTTCTGGCTTCCAGTCCAGTGCTGGTGGCACCAGCCTCCTGAGCTACGGGCGCCACCCGAAACCCCTCACCTTCTTCTGGAGCTCCTCGATGGTCCGGAAGTGGGACTGGTAGTCAGGGCACAGGTAGGGCACCTGCTGCTCGCACCACTCTCGGATGCGGCTCTCCAAGCTGGCGTTCTCCTGCTCCAGCTGCCGCACCTTCTCCAGGTAGCTGGCCAGGCGGTCGTTCAGGAACTGCATGGTCTCCTTCTCGCTGCCCGTCAGGATGCCCTCCCTGAACCAGCCCCCGCCCACGCTGTAGCTGGTGGCAAAGCCTCCAGACGGGAGGCAGAGAGCAGGGAGGCAGCTGGCGGCCCTGCAGCTGCTCCTGCCCAGCCCAGCCGAGCAGGTGGAGAAACTCCGGGCCCCACGGGAGAGGCTGGGGAGCTTGCAGGAGCTGCTGGAGTAGACGGTGGACATGCGGGGCGAGCCCCCGTGGGCCCCTCCCAGGCCCTTGAGGGACCCCGAGGAGAAGCTGGCCTTGAGGCATTTGGAAGCCATGGCCTCCGCACCGGGACACAAGTGACAGAGCTGCAAGGCTGGACACCCCCGATGCACAGGCGCAGCTCCTCGCCCCGGGTTTATATCTCGGCCCCCGTGGGCGTTGGCCTTTACAAAGTGTCTTCTCCTCGTAAAGTTAATACCACTTTCTATCAGAACCCCTCATTAACCTGCTCTTTAGCTTCCTGTGAACATTTCTCGGCCTCGTAAACACGGAGCCCCATTGGACTGGCGGCTACGTTGAGACTCATCACCACCGCCCCGTGCTGCTGGCAAGACCCAGTCTCCGTCAGTTCTTCAAAGGGGCCTGTCATCAGAGCCCAGGCCTCAGCCTCCTCGTTAAGAGGTGTGGGAGTCGGTCTTGACTTTCTCCAGCATTGTCTTCTTTTATGAGCCGAGTAGACGGTGGACATGCGGGGCGAGCCCCCGTGGGCCCCTCCCAGGCCCTTGAGGGACCCCGAGGAGAAGCTGGCCTTGAGGCATTTGGAAGCCATGGCCTCCGCACCGGGACACAAGTGACAGAGCTGCAAGGCTGGGCACCCCCGATGCACAGGCGCAGCTCCTCGCCCCGGGTTTATATCTCGGCCCCCGTGGGCGTTGGCCTTTACAAAGTGTCTTCTCCTCGTAAAGTTAATACCACTTTCTATCAGAACCCCTCATTAACCTGCTCTTTAGCTTCCTGTGAACATTTCTCGGCCTCGTAAACAAGGAGCCCCGTTGGACCGGCGGCTACGTTGAGACTCACCACCACCGCCCCGTGCTGCTGGCAAGACCCAGTCTCCTTCAGTTCTTCAAAGGGGCCTGTCATCAGAGCCCCGCAGCCTTCCCGGCAGGGCGCAGTGCTTTCCTGTGCGGGGTCTCACCGAATCCTCATGGTGCCCTGTGAGCCGAGTTTGTTATTCCCCTCTCAACTCTGAGGAAACCAAGACCCAAGGACGATGAAAGCTTGCTAGTGGCACCCGCTAGTGACAGGCAGAACCAAGATGCCAACCTGAGTCTGGCCTGGCCTTCTCCGCCACACCACCAGCCTCCACCACAGCTCCAAAATCCTGTGGCAGGGCTCTGTGGAGAAAGGAAAGGACAGAATAGGGTGGACTCCACAAGAGGAAGGCCAACAGCCTCTGGTGTCCCAGGAGATGCAGCTCAGCATGGTGGTTACCTGTGAACTCTGGGGGTTCGAATCCCAGCCCTGCCACGTGCCAACTGTTTCCTCTCTCTCTATTTCCTCCTCTGTTAACTGGGAGGAAGATAGTACCTGCTTCCTAGGGCTGCTCTGAGGATAACATACGTGTGAAGCTTCTAGAACAGCACCTGCTCATGGTTCATGCTCAGTAAGGGCAGCCGCTGATTGCTGATCCCCACGCTTGTGGAGTCTTGTTGAAGTCACACCTCAATACCACACAGCTGTCACTAGGGAGTGCGGACGGTCTCTGAGCACACAGGCCACCATCCCACGGGCCAGGTGCATGTGTTTGGGGCCCTCAGATACAGAGCTTCCATGAGTCACCATGCCCGTCCCACACCTGGGGGCCTGGTGTGACCGGCACCCACCTAGCGCCAGCCCAGGCCGCCATTGGCTGCCTCAGCCTCTCCCTCCCTGGAAATCCATGCCCCGCTGCAAGGACACACCTGAGCTGAGAACCTGGCCGCACCTCTTTGGGTGTTTGTGCTTCCCACCCAGGTGAGTACAGGGCTCCACCCCAGCCCTGCTAAGCTGCAGCCTCCTGGAGACACCCAGGAGCCCAGAGAAGCTACAGCCATGGAGGCCAGCAAGACACATGCTGTTTATACAGCCTGAGGGGCACATGGGTTCCCAGGCAGGGCTCCACACCTGTGCTACCTGGGAGGGGTTTCTCTCTCCCACATAGTCCTCGTAATAACAAGCTAGCGGGATCGGCCATCATTCACTGAGCACTGAGCACCTGCCGGGCTCTGTGCTGAGCTCTCTCCAGGCATTCTCTCATTCACTCCTCACAACACCCCCATGAGATTGGCATCGCCAATATCCCCATTTAATAGATGGATAAACTGAGGCTGGGAATGTTTCAGGAGCCTGCCCCCTGCTCCTGCCCTGCTGTACTCTACCAGCTCCAAACACTCATGGCAGTGACTAGTGGTTGACCTGTTGGCCCTCCATTCGATGATATCCTCAAATTGTCTTGTGTTTCAGCCCTATCTTCTCAGGGAGACTGTACATTCTTGGGGGCAAGGAGTGACCTGGTACTTTTTTTGAAACCTCTATAGTGTCAAGCACAGTGCTGGGCTTCTAGGTATCTCAATGTACATGAATGAATGAATGAATGAATGAATGCTTTGCACCTCAATGTACATGAATGAATGAATGAATGAATGAATGAATGCTTTGCCCATGGTGAATTGTGCTAAGTAAGGAAGCAAAGAAAGGATTTTGAGAGGAAGGGAGCATAGAAAAGGAGGGAATGAAGAAGGAAGGAGAGAAAAAGTGGGTAGAGAACTGAGAGAGAAAGATACAGTACTTCCAAAGTCAGTCTTACCATCCTTACTCTTACAGATGAGGAGACCGAGACTTAGCAATAAAAGATTAGGCATCTCTGTGGAGGTGAGCAGCACCTGCTCAGACTAACCAGCCCCTTTGGCAGAGAACAAAGTGTTCTCCGGGCCAAACGCCATTCTGCCCAAAGGGAGACAGGACCGTAAGCCAATTCACTGTCGTGTCCATGTCCAGTCCACAGTAGAAAAGTTGAGTTCTGGTGTGCACGCTGCTTAGTGATTTAAACTGGAACTCAGTTGAAGGTGTATGTGAGAGTCACCTGCTCAGACTAACCAGCCCCTTTGGCAGAGAACAAAGTGTTCTCCGGGCCAAACGCCATTCTGCCCAAAGGGAGACAGGACCGTAAGCCAATTCACTGTCGTGTCCATGTCCAGTCCACAGTAGAAAAGTTGAGTTCTGATGTGCACACTGCTTAGTGATTTAAACTGGAACTCAGCTGAAGGTGTATGTGAGAGTGAGAGCAGGAATAGGTTCCTTAACCATCACAGACTCTAAACAATTTAATAAAGAGCTAGACAAGGCTACCTAAATAAAGCGCCCATGACACCCAGGGCTGTCTGAGTGCATGGCATGAGGCTGTGAATTCCCTCTGCAAACTGTAGAGAGTGCATAAAAGGGAACACACTGTACGGTGAGAGGAGTTGACAGTGTGATTGTCAGGTCACAAGCCTGTGTGGTCTGTCTGCTCCAACACAGTAGCCAGGCAGCTTGAGCTGTATATGGAACAGAAGGTCCAGTCCAATCCCTGGCTGTTCCCATGTACCAGCAAACGGGTGGCATGCTCTGCATGCCCCCTGCCCACCGCTCATCTCCTGAGCCTCAGGCATGAGCCAGGAAGTGCAGCCCGCAGGCCCCAGAGCAGGAGTTCGAAGCCCAGAGAGCGCAGGGCAGGAGGAGAGTGAGACCACATGGAAGGACCCTCCTGACCAAGGCCGAGCAAGTCCTCTGAGGCCAAGGCCTTCGGGTTCACTGTCCAGCTCCAAGGGTGCTGCTGACCAACAGTGCAGGCCCCACCAGCATCCTGCCGTGTAACCAAGCAAAGTCCCTGGGCCCACCTTGGGGGGCCAGGGGTTTCCACTCTCCATACTCAGCTCAGGGGCCCTTCATTTAATACTAATGCTCATTGCTACCACTTCCTGGGGGCTGCACACACTGAGCCTCCTGCAGCCCCATTTCACAGATGAACCAGCCAACACTAGAGAGGTCATAGGTCATGACTGGGCACTCACTGCCAAACACAGAGCCAGGCTCAGTGCGGATGCTCCAACCTGCCCATGCGCCTCTTCCCTAAGATCTGAGAGGTGTTTGCTGCACCTCTGGTTGAGCAGCAAATTCCTGGTGACATCCCATGTCTTTCCCATGGAGGTCTTGGGCTCCAGTAAGAGCTCAGAGGCAGAAAAGAAGAGAAAGAAACAGACACACAGAGAGAGGTGAGAACCTGACCTGTGTGCTGGGAAGAGCACCAGAGTTAGAGTCTGAATAGCTAAGCCATGGCCTGTCCCTCTCACCACTGTGTGGCCTGGGACAAGTCACTGCTCTCTCTGGGCCCGTGTTCTTAACTGAAGAATGAGCAGGAGACAAAGCAGGCGTGAGGGCCTCTGACTTCTCACAGGCCATGCTCCTCAGCTCAGAGGGGAGCAGGTCCTGGCATGGTTAGGCTCGATGCTCAGATGGGCACGACTCAACCAGCAGAATCCGGGGCACTTTGAGCTCTGCCCCATTGTGAAGTCCGCCTTCCCCGCCCCCCCGCACCCCGCCACACACACACACACACACACACACACACACACACACTCACACACACACAGAGACACACACATCACTGTCCCCATCACCTTTCACTTCGGCTCTGTAGCCAGTGTTGTGGACATGAGTTCACCCCCCACCTTCATACCCCAAGTCACTCCAACTCCGCTCCCTGGGGTGGTTGGCCCAGCCTGGCAGCCTGGAATTTGCCTCTCTCTGGTTGGTCCTGGAACCCCCTCTCCTAAACTGTCCCTGTGCCAGGTCTGAGGGTGGGTGAGCAGGGGAAAGGGCGCCAGGCAAGGGAGAAGCTAAAGGGAAGGGAGAGAGAACCCCCAGATCCAGGAAGGACTACTGAGGAGGACTGGCCGGGGAGCCTTTGCCTCTTCTGAGGTCTCCCCAGGTGGGTACCCACAGGCAGGGCCAACAAGCCAGGGGGTTGTGGCCAGCGCCCATCCTGATTGGGTCAGTGTCTGGCTCGTGGACCAGGGCCTGAGGTATCCCCGTTATTCGATATGCTTAATCACCCCGTCACTTCCTATCACCCAGCACCAGCGAAGACAGACCCGACACCAAATCCCACACCTTCAGTGCAACCCCTGACCAAACACCCCCAGAACTAACCACGTCAGAGTAGACAGAGCCGCGTTTGCTATGCCAAGAGAACACACTTTATTGGGTATATTTCCAGGGAAACCTAGTTTTGCATGCATGAAAGCAGTGAAATGGAGAAGCACAATATAAGAAGTATTTTGGTAGAAAAAGCCTGCTGAGCGGGGAGCCCCTCTAGGGAAGGGGGGTTGTTGAGAGCCAGGAGCCACAGGGGTGGCCTCCCTCCTGTGGGCCAGGGCCTGCCCTCTGGGCTGGGCGGCTGGGCACAGCGGGCAGGCCTGCTTGTGCTCCTGGAGGAAATGACTCTCCCGTCTCGGATCTCCTCGGCGATGGTGCGAATCTAGGTGCTGCCCTGGGGAGCCTGGGCACAGGACATGCCCGAGACGTAGGGAACTCTACCGGCGGGCTTGCATTCCGTGGCACAAGGGTGGGGAGGCAGCCTGGGGAGATGAAATCATATCAGGTCAGGCATCGGGACTTGGCACCGGGCGTCACGTTAAACAGATTTAGGGGATCAAGTGAAACACGTGGGTGACAACAACGAGCGGCCTCAGTGCAGAGCGAGGGCTGCAGGGATGAAGACTAGAGACTCCCAGCCAAAACAGAGCTTGGACCGGCTTGTCCCCCCATGAATGACCCAAGTCGGGGGCCAGAAGGAATCTCTCTCTCTCTCTCTCCCCCTTCATCTGTGCACTAGCCACCCCAGGGCTGATGCTGCCAGCCAGGCCCTGGGGGTGGGTCTAGGTACACCTTCCCCTCCCCCCCAGGCCTGACTCCCCAGGACCCTGGCCACTCACTTGCAGTCCTCTCCCTCCAGCAGGCAGCGGTAGGTGGCGATCTCCGACTCCAGCCGGGCCTTGACGTCCAGGAGGAGCTGGTACTCCTGGTTCTGCCGCTCCAGGTCGCAGCGGATCTCGGCCAGCTGGGCCTCCACGTTGGTGATCAGGCACTGTATCTGGGCCAGCTGCGAGCTGTAGCGGGCCTCGGTCTCCTCCAGCGTGCATTCCAGGGAGTTCCGCTGCAGCGGCAAAGAGGAGAGCTGCCAACGGGAGGGATCCCACCCCGACACCCACGGCCCTGGGACTCTGCGTGTCACTGTGATCACGCCCCCTGGTCGTCTAAGAGCCTGCCTGCCACAAGGGACGGACAGCCACTCAGCAGGGGCCACTCACCATGCTGTGCTGGGCCTGCAGCTCGATCTCCAGGGCGTTGACCGTGCGTCTCAGCTCGATGATCTCCGTCTGGCAGCACTGAAGCTGCTCCGTGAATGACCCAAGTCGGGGGCCAGAAGGAATCTCTCTCTCTCTCTCTCCCCCTTCATCTGTGCACTAGCCACCCCAGGGCTGATGCTGCCAGCCAGGCCCTGGGGGTGGGTCTAGGTACACCTTCCCCTCCCCCCCAGGCCTGACTCCCCAGGACCCTGGCCACTCACTTGCAGTCCTCTCCCTCCAGCAGGCAGCGGTAGGTGGCGATCTCCGACTCCAGCCGGGCCTTGACGTCCAGGAGGAGCTGGTACTCCTGGTTCTGCCGCTCCAGGTCGCAGCGGATCTCGGCCAGCTGGGCCTCCACGTTGCCGATCAGGCACTGCATCTGGGCCAGCTGCGAGCTGTAGCGGGCCTCGGTCTCCTCCAGCGTGCATTCCAGGGAGTTCCGCTGCAGCGGCAAAGAGGAGAGCTGCCAACGGGAGGGATCCCACCCCGACACCCACGGCCCTGGGACTCTGCGTGTCACTGTGATCACGCCCCCTGGTCGTCTAAGAGCCTGCCTGCCACAAGGGACGGACAGCCACTCAGCAGGGGCCACTCACCATGCTGTGCTGGGCCTGCAGCTCGATCTCCAGGGCGTTGACCGTGCGTCTCAGCTCGATGATCTCCGTCTGGCAGCACTGAAGCTGCTCCGAGCTGGACACCACCTGCTGGTTCAGCTCCTCGGTCTGGGAAACGAGAGGGCCCAGCGCGGTCAGACCAAGGGAAGCCACTGTCAAGGGTAACCCCAGCCCAGGAGCTGGTGATCCTGGGCTGCCCCAGCCCCACCTGCGTGTTGAACCAGGCCTCCACGTCTCTGCGGTTATTCTCCACCAGGGCCTCATACTGGCATCTCATGTCATCCAGGATCTTGTTGAGATCCACTGGCGGGGCGGCGTCCACCTCCACATTCAGTCGGTCCCCGAGTTGGCAACGGAGTGTGTTGACTTCCTGCAGAGAGCCGACAAGATGCCATAAGGTGATGAAAAGGATGCTGGATGCGGGGGGTGGGGTTCAGCTGAGCTCCATTCCAACCTTCCCCCCTCGGTGGCCAGCTGTGTGACATGAAACAGGATACTGAACCTCTCTGAGCCTCCATCTCCTCATGGACTTAGAGCGACCTCCTCAGAGGGCTTGGGAGAGTAGGGTGAGATGGTGCAAGTACCAGGCAAGTAGGATTGTTAGCAGGCATTACAGCCCAAATGGAGCTTTAGTGTGATGAGCAGGAGTGTGGGATCTGGGTGACCTTAGGCAAGTGACTTAACCTCTTTGTGCCTCAGTGTTCTCATCTGTAGAATGGAGCTTATCATAGTATATCCCTCCTGGGATTGTGGTGAGGATGAAATGAGATGCAAAGTTCCTGGCACACAGTGAGCCATGAACAAATGCCAGTTGGAGTTCCTGGGGAGGCGGTTGCCACAATTGTTATACCCGGGACTCCCCGCTGGGCGGGAAACATGGGGAGGTCTCGTGGTACCAGCCTCACCTCCTCGTGGTTCTTCTTGAGGCAGAGCAGCTCCTCCTTCAGGGACTCCACCTGGGCCTCCAGGTCGGCCTTGCACAGGGTCAGCTCGTCCAGGATCCTGCGCAGCCCATTCATGTCCGACTCCACCAGCTGCCGCAGGCCCAGCTCCGTCTCGTACCTGCACACACAGAGCCCTGCCAAGTCTGCTGCAGAGGAGCCAGGCACAGGGAGGGCCCCTGCCTGCTGTCTGGCTGCAGTGGCTGAGTTGGGGCCAGCAGCACAGGGATCCTTTCCCTGACCCAACAGGGATCCGGAGCCAATGCTGCATTTTCCTCCTACAGTCTCATCTGGCCTCACCCCCACCTCACCGGCTCCCCAGGGCAGGGGAGCAGCACAGAAACCTCAGGACTAGGCCCACTCACTTGGTGCGAAAGTCGTCAGCAGCCAGCTTGGCGTTGTCAATTTGCAGGAGCAGCCTGGTGTTCTCGGCCTTGGTCAGCAGGATCTGGGGAACAAGGGGCACCCCATGAGCTGGAGAAGGCCCAGCAGGGTGGGTAGCTCGGCTCCCAGAGGCCAGGCCTCTAAGTGCCACCAGCACCTTCATCATCTCCAGCCCTGAGCCCTGAGCCCTGAGCCCTGAGCCCTGAGCCCAGGTATGAAGGGAGCGTCAGTCCTAGGAGGGATGTCAGTGGCCGTCAGTCCTGGCATCGGCAGCCCCCAGGGTGGCACAGTGGGAAACAGCAGGGGGCGTGGAGAGGGCCAGGCGGAGCTGGAGTCAGGCTCTGTACCCAGCACTGGCAGGCTGTGTGATCTTTGGCAAGGTGCTGACCGGGCACTCCATCTGTTCAACTTCAACTTCCACATCTGTTCAATGGAAGCCCATGTCTCCCAGATGAGGAACCAATAAGCCACAGAGAGGAACGTGCCAGGCACAGTTCCTGCGCCCAGTAGGGGCTTGGTACATGGTGTTGCCCTTCCTATCGCTGAGACAGCGAGGGGAGGGGAGGAATGGCTGGCCACAGGTTACAAGCAACGAAGAGATCTGGGCCCCCCAGGAAACCAAGACCCCAAAGAGAAAAGCTGGCCTTGATGGGAGGATTCCCTAAGAGCTGCAGTCCCACCCGCAGCCCCTCGGTATGAGACAGACCCCCTCCAGGGGCGGGGCTGCTGGGCTGGAGAGGGGCCAGGCCCCGGTTACCTTCTGCTGCAGCTCCTCGATGGTCTTGAAGTAGGACTGGTAGTCGGGGCAGATGTACGGGATCTGACACTCGCACCACTCCCGGATGCGGCTCTCCAGCTCCGCGTTCTCCCGCTCCAGCTGCCGCACCTTCTCCAGGTAGTTGGCCAGGCGGTCGTTCAGGAACTGCATGGTCTCCTTCTCGCTGCCATTGAAGGCGCCCTCGCAGAGCCAGACACCGCTCCCAGCAAAGCCAGAGGGGTAGCACCCAGAGGATAGGCAGGAGCTGGGCAAGCAGCTCCCCAGGCCCGAGAGGCCCAGCCGGCCGGAGGAGGCCGAGCCCGCAGCACCCCTGCACGAGCCCATGGAGCGGACGGGGGACACCCGAGAGAGCCCGCCCGCTGGGCCACAGAGGACCTTGATGGACCCAGAAGAGATCGGGGAGCAGGTCTGGGTGGCCATGATGCTAGCAGAGGACGGTAGAGCTGAGCAGGAAGCTGGGGTTCTGGGTTCTCCCGGCCTCTCTGGGGCGGTTATATACCCTTTTTGTAGGGTGTTGGCGTGTTACTCTTGGGAAAGCCTAGTCCTAGTCCAGAAAGCTGATTGCATTAGAACGTGACTTTTTGCTACCCATCCAGCATTCCCTGCCTTGTAAAAAAAAATAAAATAAAATTGTTCAATTTGGTTGGCTAAGTCAGGACTCTCGGCTGTTGTCACTTCGGAGCAGAATATGAATTTTATTGCCTCTTCAAAGACTTTGCACCAGATCCCATAAATCGGGAGTGGCCTCGCGGATGGCATTTGGTCCCTGCCCTGTCTGCGTGCCTTCCCCTGAGGAGCCCAGTCAGTCCGTCTGTCACCATCACCAACGACCCCACGCCTCCTCACCCCTGACCTGGGCCTGGGCCACGGGGATGGTGGAAAAGGAGCAAAGAGAACTAAAATTCATGGAGCATCTATTATGGGCCTGGCTAGAATCATTCCGTTTCCACCTCACCACAGGCCTGGGAAGTGGCCGGTATTGTCTCCATTTCGCCAATGTGGAAACTGAGGCTCAGAATGGTTAGAAAACAAATAAATAAAAAGCCGCTCAAGGTAAACGGGCTGTGAGGAAGGAGCCCGATCTGAAACCAAGGCTCTCAGACCCCAACTCCCATGCCCTCGTCCCCCACACAACCAAGGTCAAGTGCCACCACCTGGAATTTAGGGGCAGGAGACCCAGGTTCAAATCCTGGCTCTGCTGATCATCTGAGCACGTCACCCCCTCTCTGGCCTCCTCAGTGCCTTCATCCTGACAGGAGCGATCGTCAGCCTGGCCTGAATCAAAAGTCAGAAGTAAACATGTTTTGAAAACCATCGGGTGCCATAGAGATGTGGGTTAAGCTAAGAGAACGGTCTTTGGTGGTCGCTGATGGCTGTGGCCAGCAAAGGATCATGGGAATGAGCCTGCAAATGGGGCTGCTTTGGAGGGTAGTTCCCTTTGTGGCCTCCGTCTCTAAACCTAGGAGGGTAGACTCAAGGCCCCAAGATGGCCGGCTCTGACCGCCTCCCCCCCAGTCCCTGAACTGGGTACAGAGATGGTCGATGCAGACTCTCTGGACAGGGAAGGAATGAGGAGCAAAGTGTCGCCAGGCAGGTAAGCGAGCCAGGGAGAGAGCCCGGGGATTAAGGAGCAAAGGTAAATGCGGTCCCTGCCTCCCCACGAGGGCTTTCCCACGCAGGCCTGCTGTGCAAGGCTGGCATTTATGGGCGCATTTATGTGCTTCTGGGGTTGTAATTTACCAACCTCTTAAAACGCTTTATAAGCTTCTCTCTGGCATTACTCAGGAGGGTTGGCTGTGGTGCACAGCACCTCGCCCAGTGCAGTGGGCATCCTGTCGAGGTGCCCCATTTTGCACCTGGGGGGCTCCTTCCGGGACTGGGAGCGGGCAGCTGGCCTCCAGAGCCCCGGCTGCCTCAGCCACGGTTCCTCCCAGCTGCCTATCTTCCCTGCTCTGCCCACAGGGCCTAAGATGGGGCGTCTCAGGCTTTCTCAACCTCAGCGCTGTTGACATCTCGGACTCCAGAGTTCTCTGTCGGGGGGGCTCCCTGTGCATTGTGAAATGTTAGCAGCATCCCTGGCATCTATGGACATGTCCCTCCCCTAGCTGTGACAACCAAACATGTCACTAGACCTTGCCAATATCCCTTCGGGAGGCAAAACCGCCCTCAGTTGAGACCCACTGGACCATCGGGACAGGGCCTGGGCTCTGTCTAGACTCCTATAAGCACCGCCTTTGTTTCCTAGGACGACGGTGCAGAGTCTGGTGGGCACTGTGGGGCCTCTCAGGCAAGTCCTCAATACATCCGTGCCTCAGTTTACCTCATTTGTGACACGGGGCTCGTCCTGCGGGCAGCCCTTCCCAAGCCCCCGGTGTGGTTCTTCTCTGTTGGGGTCTCTGGCTGACGCTGCTGCTCTCATTTTTTGTGAAATCCAGACCTGAAGCTGATTCCAGGTCTCTCTCGGGGCAACTGAGTAAGGGGGGGTCTGCCGCCCTGACTGTCCCCGTTCTCAGCCGCGCAGGAGGGCTGTGGTGGGCCAGCGCCCCGCAGGCGTCTCCAGGGCTGAGCAGAGGCACACACCCCTCCCGGAGCAGGTGGCCAGCTGGCCAGAGAAGGTCTCTCAGCCGCCCTCAGGCCCCTGCCTTTCTCCATGTTGCAGACTTCAAGGCCACCTCTCAGAGGCAAGTGCGGAGGGAGCCTCGTGGGAAGAATTCCTGATCCTGCGCCCAGAAGCCGGGACCATCGTGGGAAGGCGGAGGCCCGCGTGGAACAGATGCTCTACCTGTATCGGAGGAGAGAGTCCGGACTCACAGAGCCGCTCACCCCCCAGGACCACACCAGGGACCGCCCACCCTCCGCCTCCTGGCCAGCCAGCCCTGGAGGACACCCGCCTGTCCACTGTTTAGTAAACCAGGGCTGCCCATGCATCGGGTTTTATATCCAAATCCAGTCCTGGGCTCAGCAAGACCTCAGGCCAAGCTGCTCAACCCAGTTGAGCCTCCGCTTTCCCAAGAGGTGAATGGAGATCACAAAACCACAGGATTGTGGGAACTCGTTGACATGTGCATGATAAACAGGAACTCATTTCACAGAGTTAAGAGATCAAAACTGTTCTTGGAGCCCCTGCCGTCTGAGCCCCAAATACTGTTTCCAGTACGCAAACCGCTCCCCCTGGTTTCAGGGGACACTGACTCCGAGGCCTGACCCAGCTGTGCCAGGAAACACAGCTGCTCAAAGAGGTGGTGGCTGGGGCTGTGTCCAGGGCTAAAGGGACCCCATCAGCCACGACTCTCTGTCTGGCCTCTGACCTTTACTCTAGAAGCTCCCAAAAGCCACCACTCCCACCCCTATCTCCACCCCACCCCCACCGTGCAGGTGCAGTGCTGGTTTTAGGGCTACAAAGCTGAGGGCGCATTCTCCGCCCACATGGCCCCAGCTTCAGGGGCAGGGGAGAGAGGAGATGCTGCCGCAGGAACAGAAAACAGCCTGGCTTTTCCCAAACCCATCGGGGAAGGCCACCAAGTTCAAAGTCAGCCATGGAGCTTGTGGCTCCTTCTTTGGTAAAAAGAAGTCTCCATCCATAAGTGAGTTTACATCCGGAAGCCAGGGGTCTCCGTGGGCAAATAGCCAAGAAGTCAAGCCTGAATCTCCTTCTGCCCAGCCCTGAGCAGTCCCTTCAGTGCAGATGGCAGCGAGCACAGCCCGGCACGGTGTGCCCCGGAGGAAATAGGTTCTCTGAGCAGGGTCCCCCTTTCCCTGCTGCTCTGGGCTGTGGTCAGAGCGTGCCAGCCACCACCACACCAGAGTGCCCCACAGGCATCGGAGGAAGCAGACCGTGGGCCATGGAGCAGCCACATCCCCTGCCACTGGGCACCAAGGGGACCAAGATCACTCAGGAAGCCCATGGCTGCCTCTCAGTGTCCTGCTGCCTTAGGCTTCATCCTCCTGGTTGTCACCTGCTGCCTGCTCCACCTTTGACATCCACACACACAGATCCTGCAGAATTTCCCACCGTAACAGGCATCTAAGGAATGCTGGCCCCGTGTCTTAACCCCTTTATTTTTAATTAATTTTTCTTAATGGGGGTGGGGGGGAGATGTTGACTGGTTGTTCTACTCATTCATGCATTCATTGGTTGATTGTATGTGCCCTGATTCGGGACAGAACCCGTGACCTAGGCATATCGGGAGGATGCGCCAACCAACCAAGCTATCCGGTCAGGGCCCATGTCTTAACCTCTTTAGACGCTACCCAGCAGTCACCCAGAAATGGGGAGACCCACACCGATCTCATTTACACACACACACACACACACACACACACTGCTTCTTCCTTTTAACCAAGAATGTGTTCAAGTGACAAAGCACCTGCGATTCAGGCCCCTCCCAGGAAAGCAGGGTTACTCTCTATTCTGTGCCAAATAACCACATCGACAGCTTGGGCCAAAGCTACTGCCAGCTGATGTCAGGTCTAGTGCAGGCATGCCGTGGCAGGTACACAAAGGTGAAGGGAGCGTTATGGGAGGAGAAAATCTTCAATGAAGACATTTTAAGCCACCCATTTAATTTGTCCAGAGAACTGGAGAAAGGTCTCGCTTACTCAGTTTCGACGGCGAAAGACTCGGGGATGTTCACAGACCGGCCAAGGATAGGGTCACCGGATTTCACAAATGGGCATGCAGGCGATGTTTGGGACATACTTATACTAAAAAGTGTCCATCTGTCATTCCGATGTCACTGGGCGCCTGCACTTTATCTGGCAGTCCTCGGTAAGAAAGCATCGCCGGCCTAGCGCCTGGGCCGAACACGACACAGCTATTCCTTCCTCCTCCCCTGTGGCCTGTCCCGTGACTGGCTGGTCTTGGGGATGGTGTATCTGACTTCCTTTGGAAAATCATCTTCCTGTTCTATGTACCCTATTTGGAGTGGCTGCGTTTTTACCCTCACAGGCCCAGCGAGCACGACTCGGGCGTGCGGCGCTGTCCTCACTGCCGTCCTGGCCACCTCAGTGACAATCTGCCCCATGGCAGCTGCCTGGAGCAGGGTGACTCAGACCTTCCTCGGCAAGATCTGGCAAGTCCCTCTCTGCTCCGTTTCTCACTCCCCCAGCCTGTGCCCCAAACCTCTGCCCACCCCTGCTGTCGCCAGGCCTCACCAAGCTCAGGACAGTGGGGACACACGCTCGGTGACCTAGGAGGCCTTTCTCCACTCCCTCTACAGAGCCCTGAGCCTGCTGATGAGTTGGCCAGGGCCCTGAGCAGGGGTTTCTCCCATGGCCCTAGGGTCTGCGGGGCTCCCGGGCACCCAGCTGCCCACGTGCTGCTCTGTGCAAGGTCCTGAGTCCCCGCGGGGCCTGGGCCTTACCCTGATTAGGCCTCCAAACTCCCCCTTTGCCAGGTCAGAATTGCCCTGGAACTCTCCTCTCCCCCAAAATACAAAGGTATCCCCCACACACACCAGAATATGGTTTTGGCAATTGCCTGGGATTTCGGGGTTCTGCTCCAAACTGCTCTTGCCATGGGGGAGGCCTAGAGAGCCGCCCTGACCCCAGTCTTAAGCCATACCTCCTGGTTTTCTCACGCCAGGCTCTGCCTTCTCGCCCGCAGGCCAGCTCTTCCTGCGCGGTTCTGCTGGCTGACAGCTCCCAGCTGGAAGTCCAGGGCCTCCTGCTCA